AAAGAACGATGCTTTGCGTGCTATTTCATGGGTTAACTAAATGTACTTTGGCTGCCAAAAAGCACACTACACTATACAGGGTGTCTCAAAAAAACCGCTACCCTTAGAAATTCACCATTGTTCTAATTTGAATGCCTGAACCTTGTTGAAGCCCTGAATGCGAAAACATTTTCACAGGGTGCATATATTAAAGATCTTCGGAATTAAAATATCCTTGAAAAGCGAAATTTTTTATCCTGGGAATTGAAAATAGTTCATACAAAAGTATAACTGCACGAAAATCGTTCAATTACATATTAGTGAATGTCAAGCAAATGGCTCAACTGAGCACAGAGCAAAGAGTATTTATTGTCTTAAATTACCCATGAGTTCAAGATAGCACTCAGGCATTCAAATTAGAACAATGGTGAATTTCCAAGGGTAGCGGTTTTTTTGAGACACCCTGTACTCAGTGCGTACACAACATAGTTTAATTTATGCATGGGCATTGTTTAAGCATGCAACGCAGCCGGGGCAAGTCAGTAGGATCGTGCATGGGATTGAAGTATGTGCAATGAATATTTTTTATAATTGATCATGCTTTTGTTATTGCATGTGTCGAAACATTAAAAACAATGTCCTCAACTCTACAGGGTGCATCAAAAAACCTGAAAACCTTTGAAGTACAGGGTGTCCTCTAAAAAAGTACCCTCTATAGAAATTATCATATTGTTATAATTTGAATGCCCGAGCACTATGCTGAACACAAGAGCGCGTAAACACAATTGAATTGAATTTTTAATTACCAGGAGCATGAAAAATCCTGGGCTTAACAACAATAGGATAATTTCTATAGATGGTGATTGAACTAATTGATCCCAAGCATGCGTAAACACCGCAATAGTTGACATTCGCAGTCGAACTGATAATTAGTTGTTTGCGTTACAAATAACTTTTTGTTATTCTAATTTCTATCAACGCGGTTAGTTAGAATGTATTTTCAAATCCCAGGATCAAAATAAGCAGCACAAACATTGAAATGCTGGTAAGCAGCAGAATTATGCAAATTATAGTGTTTGCAGGTTTTTTGATACACCCTGTAGTTTTCGAAGTAACGTGGCTTTAATTTGACGTCCTTGGATGCAAGTTTTGCTCCATGACCATGTTATTCGATATTCAGTTCTTAAACGATCGACTTCACTTCAGTAAAATCAAAAGAAAGGCAATTTGGCGAAGAAGTATATTCAAGCGAAGTAAAATATCAGCTAAGCACTTTACTTTACTCTTTCTTTAGCCTGGTTCACATATATGCCTGCGGTATACCTGCGCTATCATTGTTCAGAGCAGTTGCTGTCAATAGCCCGCCGACATACCGCAGGTGTAAGTAGGTATATGTGAACCGGGCTTTTATGTTTACTAGCCATTTAAAAGTCCGTGCTTTATCAGATAAAACATTCGAGCTGCGCTCACGTGTTTTATATCTGATAAAGCACTCCTGCTCGCGTTTTAAATAGTACATACCGGACAGCCCGCACTCACTGTACAACCTCGTACCCAGGGCTAGTCGCGAATTGAAGGCGGCGACATAGTTCGCGACTAGCCCTGGGTGCGAGGTTGCTCACTGTACAGTTGTGGTCTTGTGACTTTTGAAGTATATGTGTGGTCTTTAATAGTCATACAGTGTATCGTTGTTGTGTAATTAAAAGCATTGAATAATCTGTGTGCTCTTAAAATAATTATTGGCTGATATTGTGGTCTATAGGGAAAAGGTTCCAAAAATGGGTCCAAGTTTCCATACTATTGTCGTTCTGATGTCACAGATATTAGAGTAACGGTAGGATAGAAAGGTTAAAAAAAGTTTATGGTTAGGTTCTCATGTTTCGCGCACAATAAAGCTAGGGTAGGGTGGGTTGTGATTACGGTCAAGATCAAAGATATATATTTGTGACCGAAACAAGGATTTATTCATATTTACAATAATGACGTCACAACGAATAGTGTTGAGCTTACTGTCAGTTACGATGGGTTAGGACTTCACGAGGTGGTATTTAAACTGGGGTGCGTTGTTAATTTGGAAAGATGAGGCCGTTTTTATATATCGTCAAATTAAGGAGCAAGTCAGCATTTATGCTACTGATAAGTATACTAGTATATCATGTTTCTTCGTGTATTGGGCCCTAGGTCGTCTTCGAGAAATCTTCCCGTGCCAAAATATATTTTGTTTTCGGAAAAAAACCAAAGTGATAGCGTTTGCACCCATCTTGTTTTAGGCCGGCGAACGGCGAATTTCGCCAGCGCTAAGAAGACATATGACAGCCATTCGCCAGAGGCTGTGTGTAATTCGCCGGTACTTGCAGTCATGATAAGCTGAAATTTTTAGCCCAGTCTTACACTTGGACAATATACCAAATAGACAAAGCTTGCAAGCCTTTGCCCACCACTCAACTCATCAATTAATAGCCGGAGCCTCAGTAGAGCAAAACAGTATTGGCCATGCCCAAATTATTATTAGCCAGGACTTCAAACGGATACCTGAAGGGCTGGTTTGAAGAGTTTATATTGTCAGGAAACGTTCACATGGAAGACAGGTATTGAAAATCCCAGCTAAGCATTGCTTTTCATTATTGTTTTACTGAAAAATGTTGTTCACTCCTACGTTTTGAGAAGTTAACAGCATAGTTAACTTTAACTATACTTTTTGGACCAGGAACTGGTCCCCAATCGCTGCTAATCTTGTTGTTGTTGTTGTTGTTGTTGTTGTTGTTGTTGTTGTTAGGGGGCGATGCTCTTTGAAAACCCTAAGGCTCCTTCATTTAATACTTGTCTGATCGGAATGAAATTTGACACAATTATTCTAAGCAATATTCCGCATCGATTGACGGTGTTCGATTTTTCATTTTTGACTTTAGAAGCAAGATACAAGCAATTTTTGACTGTATTCGTAGCAAATAATATATACATATCATTAATATTCAGCAAATATATCAGCAAACGCAAACGAAAGACATTGTCTTGTCTATTGTTGTGAACACAATCACAATAGTCTAAAGCTTCTCAAGAATGTGAACGACTAATTATAACAATTAATTATAAGCGTTAAGTTGACAAAATTTAACACGCTGGCTTAGTTTCTCAAAGCGTAGTGGAGTAATATTGCTATCTGGCTGTCATATAATATTCATAGTCCGATAGAAAATCGTGAACCATAAAAAAAAGACATGAAAATTTGTTTTTAGCACAAGAATGCTGCGCTCACGGTTGCTGCGCTCACGTGTTTTA